ATTAAGCTTTTAATGTGATTTAAACTTTAAAAGTACATTAAAATAGAAACAACACAAAGTTCTTCATGGAAAGCAATGGAAATTGTTTCATATCGTGCTTTGCAGGGCTTCGGGACACAGGACAGATAGGCTATAGGCTATGCATTCCTACAACTTATTAATTTGTGGCCACTGTCCATGTTTCATTCATTTTGTTCCTTAACCCATGATTTAACTAAAATGAGGAAACAAATTAATACATCGAACGAATTCTTAATCAAGTCAAGTCAAGTCAAGTCAAAATAAAAGTAAACACTTTTGTGGATTGTATCTTACTCCAAAAATGGAGTTTTTTATTTTTCTGTTTTTTTGTTTCAGCTGTTCGATCGTGCCGGCGCCTCACATATTCTAGCAATTCAAACTTGCATCGCAGTCTGTTCATTATCAAAATAAAATACAGTCAACCAAACATAAAAGGTTACACTGGTCAGTTTAAATAGACCGTAGTATAGGCCTACCGGTCCACTCTGCTGTTATGCCAAGGACGTTTTTGCTCATGTGAAGAGGATGATCTTTTCCGTCTATGCGAATGCGTGTAAAGTACAAGCCTAGTTTACATTATAAATAATAGTTTAACATTCAAATACATTGCGAATATGGAAACATCTAACCAACCCGCGCTCGCTCCGTCCTCGTATGCACGCACGCACTGTCACGTGTCATTAAAAACAAATAGGCCTACCGGAACGCAAAAACTCAAAATCTGACATCTTCCGGAACAGGATCCAGCAGGATCAAATTAAGTACTGGGCATAATACTCACATAAAAATGTTTCATGTTAGCAACAGTGTGTTTTGCTGCAGCAGCGCCGATGGAAGCGGTTCACTGACTGTGCAGCACAGCCACACGCGCCAGTTACGTTTGAGATAATTTTATTTTAAATGCCATATTGTCAGTTGAAAACATTGCAGTTGTGTTTTAAAATACAACAATGAGCACCACGAAACCATTTAAAGAGGCGCGTTCAGCGATCCCCGTGACGGGATAGGAAACACTGACTCAACAAAGTAAAATGATCTCAAATGTACGGCGTGCTCTCTTCATTTTATCAAATGATCATAATCACATCTATTCATTTTACAATCCTGCTACTAGCATTTCATTCAGACTAAAACCCCTTTAATTCGGGTGAGAAAGCGGGGGTTTTTTTTTTTCTTTGAGTAACTTTTGTACATCCTGTCATGCCTGGCTGCATTTTGCAGGATTAAGGTTAACGATTAATCGATTAATTGATCGTTAATTTAAACGATCTTAATGTCAATTTAAATTGACATCCCTAATATATATAATTTTTACCCCTTGTTATCTTGAACTGTATGAATACTTTGAAGTTCATCATATGTCATGCATGACTTTCCTTTATTTAGATGTTTGATTTAGAAAATCTGATGTCCCTTCACATGGTTTTGTTTAAAAAATGCTTCTGGTGATTTTGCAGGACATGGGCACTGTGATATTGGGGAAATTGGAGTCGGGATCAATCAGCAAAGCTCAGCAACTTGTGATGATGCCCAACAGGGTAAGATTATTGTAATGTAACCCTTTAAAACGTCAGGTTTTGTGGCAAGAATTGACTGACATATTTGTGCCTGTCTCATCTGTGTGCAGCACACTGTAGAGTTGCTGAGTTTGCTTTCTGACGATGTTGAAACCGATGATGCTGGTCCTGGAGAGAACTTGAAGTTGCGACTCAAAGGCATTGAAGAGGAGGAGATCTTGCCAGGCTTCATCCTCTGCAACGTTGAGAACCTTTGCCACACTGGGCGCACCTTTGATGCCCAGGTCAGTGAACTCCACTGTAATTAAAAGAATGATCCAGCTTCAATACAAGTTCAGTTCTATCAATATGATTACTCCGTTTTCTTGTTTTTGTTTTGCAGTACTACATATTAATTGTGCTTTTGTCTCTGCCATCTCAGATAGTCATCATTGAACACAAGTCAATCATCTGCCCAGGTTACAATGCAGTTCTTCATATCCACACCTGCATTGAAGAAGTGCAAATTACGGTAATTGCTGCAAAGTTTTTTTTGTTTTTGTTTTTTTTTTACATTTAGTATTTGTGCAGAAATTCTCTTATGGTGTAAATCTGTGACCATAAGCCTGTAGACTTTAGCTCGGGTGAGTGCCCTCATTTACAGTTGTGTATCAAAGTGGTTTAAATGTGCCTCTGGCCCCTTTACAGGCCTTAATCTGTCTGGTAGACAAAAAGACGGGGGACAAGAGCAAAACACGACCCCGCTTCGTCAAACAGGACCAGGTGTGCATTGCTCGCCTGAGAACAGCTGGGACCATCTGCCTTGAGACCTTCAAAGATTTCCCTCAAATGGGACGCTTCACCTTACGAGATGAAGGTGAGGGGACATTATTGGCAAAAGCAGCTCTCTAACTTGTCTTTAACTTGTATTTTTTTTTATTTTGTATGTGTTTTGTGAATGTCTTGTCTTTTAGGGAAAACCATTGCCATTGGGAAAGTGTTGAAACTTGTTGCCGAGAAGGACTGAAAAGAATGATTGGTGGTTCTGAAACGACTGACCGAGGCGGAGGTAGATGCTGCTTCAGCCACAGCACACTTCATAGCCCTCCTGTCCTTTCTCCTCTCCGCCTCCCGAAGACCAGCTTAAAAAACTTATCTTAAAGAAATCCGTTTTTAAGCAAATGAAAATGAAATCAAGTCCACATGTGTCAGCTTTCTCATATTGAGAGCTCAGCGATGCCATTGTTTTAGGTTCTCCCCCATGACCTGTTCTTCATCCATCTGCACATGTTAAATGGCAAGAGATCTAGCTCTCTTCCAAACTTTTTTTATTTTTTTTTTATTTTTAGAATTTTTCTTTTTGCTTCCATCAGAGAAATATAATGGCAGCAGATACAGTAAATGTATGTGGACCAAGATTTGCTTGATAACATAAAGTGATTTATGAGCAGTAAAGTTTGAATGATTAATCAATTGAAACCAAAATGTTGATATCTTGGTTGTACATGTCTCGCATTGCTTATTCCCATTTTGGTTTCTGTTCACATAACGTTCTTGCAAAGTGCATGAGCGTGTTCACGTTATTAAAGCATCTTCTATGACAATAAAATATAAAATTGGGGAAAAATTGAATTGTTGAATTCTTTTGTGCTATATGGAGTTTCTTAAAAAAAAAAAAAAAAAAGGGAAGAAAATGTGATAGAAATTTGTTAATTATAAGGCTGTCTTGGTAACCCCTTTTTAAAAAATGCTTTGATCTGTGTTGCTATATTTCTTATTTAACTTGGACTCTATTTCTATTTTTTTTTTATGTTTAGTCAAAGACAGAAATCCTAAGTATTATGCATTAGCATGACTGATTCCTATATCACTGAATGCATTGCGTGTGCAAACTGCAATGATATTTTCAGTGTTTGTAGATGGTATAAATCCCTTGTCCTGTAAAAGATGGGTTTATGAACTATCTTTAGCCCTTTGCTTAAACCGGTTGCAATGTGATTTTTGTATTTGTGGGTGCAATTACTCAGACACAAATAGGGCAGTGTGGTCCAGCTCCAGATGTTCATACTGACACACCCACAGGGAGTGGCTTTCTCTCCACTGTATTTTGTGGATAAATACAGTAACTGACAGGCAGAAGTAGAACAAGAGCTTCTGTATAACCATTGATGGGCTCTGAGCTTTCTAAGTAAGTGTACTTCATTTTTTGATTTATATAGTTAAGTGACTGAATGATTTTTCTATAAAAGCAATATTTTGAGTTTTCTGTGTCTGTTTTGAATCCTCCTAAGGCTGAGTTTATATTGGTGGTCTTACATTTCTGTAGATCAAGATGCATTCCAGCATATCTGTGCGAACGGAGACTGATGAAGCTGGTTCATGTCCTGGAAAGACGTTCCACAAAGGAGTGAAATGTGGCTGGAGTCACTTTAAAAAGCCAGTCCTGGCCATCTTCATTGGGGGTCTTCTCTTTGGCGCGGGCACTGCACTGTCCTTGTTGTACTTCACCCAGGTGGGCAATGTGCCCTATTTAGTAGGACCTATATTGTTGTCTGTGGGGCTGATGTTCCTGGTCACTGGACTTGTCTGGGTGCCTGTCATCAAGCAGAAGATGGTCCATACAGCAATGACCCAAATGAGCCATGGCGGACCTCTGCTACCTGAGCAAGGAATTCATACGCAGTCCTGTGTTACCATTTCATAGGAACTCTGAGTTGAATGTTTGTTTTATTTATATAAGGTTTCTTTTCTCCTGAGAAATGAGAGATGTTATATATTTTTTTGTGTACAGTCTATAGATGTGTCTCCTGTTGTGTTTTTTGTTGTCTTGTTCCCGGCAAATCCCTACAAATTAAAATGGCTTTTAATCATCAGAGGTCAGAATGAATTCAGCACAAACTGAATCGCTGCATATGAGACCTGCAGAATACTGAAAAAGCACAAATATGTAGGTCAGCTCTGTCGAAAGAACACAACAAAAACATTTAGAAGGAAAATATGAAGCACTGTGTTTGTCTACCATTAAATCATTATTTATTGATTATGATTTAATTAATTCGGTTATTTGTCAATTATTGTTAATGTAATCTTGTTATAACGTACTGATGAGTGTGTTCATTGTGACACTTTGTACCTAAGAGTAGCTGCCTTATATATTTCCCCAGAAAATATGTTAATGTTGTTTGTTCTCGCTTTATTTTAGGAAGCAGCAGTAGTAATAACTACGCCTGATTCATGAACGAATCGGTTTTTGGGTCTCCTCATTTTATCTAGTTACATGTCATGCACAAAACGATTCATTTACGAATTAGACTGAATCGACTCATTGAACCGAGAACCGCAGTATATTAAGAGCAACCGAGAATTTGGGATTCCGAACAGCAGCAAATTTATAAATAAAACGTATTAAAAATGAAGTTACTAAAAATGCTCATGATTGTATGACAGTTTTGTAAACACACATAAGAAAAATTTTCAAAGGATAACGTTATAATTATAACAGACATTAAACACACATGTAGGACTAAACCTACAATCAATCGATGTAGTGTAATGACTGGAAAATAAATGAATAAATTACTTGATAAAACCAATACTACTCTTTTAAAATTGAATTGTGTTACTTTTTTATTTTATTTATTATTTTCTGTATTAATTTTTATTCTTTTTAGATTCGTTCATTCATTCCTTTATTCCTTCTGCAGGTTTGGTCCTCCAAACACACACACACACACACACACACACACACACACACATTTTCAGCTGGGAGATGTAAATGAGTGTTGTCAGTTAGTACTGTATAAATTAGTATTGTTCAATGTGTGAACTGCGACTGTTTTAAGCGCTGAATCATGAATGCTTCTAACTGAACTGTGAAACATGGACTTACAGTAAACATTATTATTATTAAAAAACACATAACTGGACAAATGCTGAATTTAGAATACTCTAATAACCCCTGCCACGTTATGGAAGGAATTTAAGGTACCACGTCATGACGTAAAAGAATCACTACAGATTCGAACCGTTAAAAAAAAAACGAAGCAACGAAACTTTTAATCGCTACAGTGAATAATTAATATTTTAGAGGTGTCGAGCAGTATTTTCAGCGCCTTCTAGTGTTCGGGGTTGATAAAGGAGGATCGCTTGAAACAAACGCATCCAAACAACCAACCGATGGCTTGCAAAATGATGGCATCATTACAAATCGGCCAATCAGAAGCAGGCATGAAACAAACCACGAGCTGAGAGTTTTTACACAACAGTCGGAAGAGTCCCATTGTCAGAAGTGTAACGTGCCAGAAAATAGTTTGTATAGTGTTGTTATTTTATCCTCAGAATCGCAATCATACTATTTAGTTCAACATATCACTAACAGGAACTAAATAAATATTTGGAAGAAAGCAGCTTTGAGGATTAGCCGGAGGTAAGTGAAGTTGCTAGCTAGCGTGATGGCTCTTGAGAATAGTGGGGTAACGTTAGTTTGACCAGTTCGGTTGAGTTATGAGATGTGTTAGTTCTCGAAAACGCTGCGCAACAAGCTGTTAATCATATCGTTATTTAAATATAAAACAGTTGAAGTTACATGTCAACATCTTATTCATTCGTTATTAAAGTGATTTCTGTCGGAGCTTAAATCCGCCGACTGTTAAGAACTTTTAAGTGGCCGGTTTGTTGTTAGCTAGCTAACGTTAAGTTATCAAATTTAAGACTGAAGTCTTTACATATGATGGTGATAGAAAGTTGATGTGTTCTAAAAATGTTTACTTTATCGGGACTTTTTGCTTATTTTATCCGAAACATAACTACATACCGCTTTGTTGCATTTTTAAAATAGAGAATTACTTTTGGTGTTAGTTTAGCTTAGGTTATAAATCCTTAAGAAGCCTTCAGATAGTCTAATAAGTCACACAGTCCTTAAAAACTGGCATTGTTACTGTTAAAATTGTAGCCTAATAGTGAGTTGTACGCCTGAGGGAAAATATCTTTAGGTTTTCAAAATCATCACAAGACACGCCCTTCCTCTTCTGCTTTTCCCCCTTGCTATTACAAAAAAGTTGAGCATCCTTTCAAGAAGAAACAATTTCAGTAACAGAATAGTGTAGTGAGTTTCACAGAGTTTGCTCAGGTATTATCATCTTCAGCATTATCATTATGAATGCTTTTGGCTGACCACATCAGCAATCGATTTGATAAATGTGCTACTCTAAACAATATATGTTTTTATACAATGTTATATAATTTGTATATTTTAGCAATCAATTAATTTGTATTACTACATTTTGTAATATATTGATGGCCATTATTTTGCCAGTAAACCTGACTGAACAGCAATGAGTGACCCCGAGCCTGCAACATTTGCATCTATTGAACAAGAGAGGGACTACTGGAAGGAACAGGCTGCCAAATACCAGCAAAGGTACTTAAGTGTTGTTTTTCATTCATTATGACATTTGATCTACATTGGACATAAAGGAATCGAAGTAAAAGTAAGGCCGTTTTGCAGGGCCCATGTTTGTTCCTGAACACTTGGGATAAATCGAAGTATTAGATCTTCCTTTACAGCCGACATTCAGTCATTGTATTGAACCACTGCTTGTTCAGGGCTGAGGAGGTGCAGGAGGAGCTGCAGGAGTTTCAGCAGATGAGTCGAGACTATGAGGCAGAGCTGGAGACAGAGCTGAAGCAGTGTGATGCCCGTTATCGCGAGCTTCTTACGACCAGCAACAGACTCCGCATGGAACTAGAAAATTACAAGGTACTGTGGTGCATCATAGACACAGGGTTAATAAACTGATTTATGGTAGTCGCTGTTAGATTTTGATGTATTTGGCTGAGCAGTCACTTGTGTGGCTCGCCAGCGTACTAGATTTCTCTGATACATGGAGAGCCCATGATACATTGACCTAATGCTGACCTAAGGTGCTAGATTACCCTTCGCTGGGAGTTTGATTGATGGGCGATTTGACCAATCATGACACAGAATCTGCCATTTTTGTCCGACAAACAAACCAGACAGGAGAGTAGATTAACGTTGGTGGACTTGAACTTGAAAAATGGTGTGCATTGATGACTTTCCGCGGTTGAAACAAGATACCTTCTGATGTTCATTCATGTTTATTTCATGCTATAACTAGTAAAGGGGAAGAGATGATCGGTTCACATGCCGCTTGAACTGAGGCGCTACAGCGATTTGTAATGACACTTTTAAAGAGCCACAAGACTGTATTTATTGTTAGAAGTTCTTAAATGACAATTTGAAAGCTAAGACTTTGTTTTATACCTGAAGTAGCCTGCTCGGTCTTGTCTGTCGGCGTGTTGTCAGTTTCCTCTTTGCTCTGCAATGTATTTTTCATTGCAGCAGAACACGATGTATGGCATGAGAATGCCATGACATGTCGGACATAGCAACAGTAACTAAGGGGGGGCGGGTTTTTGCGAAGGGTCAATTATATGACCAATTAAGGTCATACTTTTGTAAACAAAAATGCAGATGACTACAGTTGATTGCAAATACATTACAGTCAGGGGCACAGTCACAATGTACGTGGCTCTGACTAAAGATAACTGAAGTACACAATATTTCATCACCAACCTCTTAAAAAAAAAAGACTATGGGTTGATTTAAATGAAAACATACCCAAA